GATAACCAAGTGGAGGTAACTAGGTAAGAGCACGTGACCAGTCCCCATCTTTAGAACAAGGTCGCACGTAATTTGTTTTACATCGTGCGTTAACTTTTCACTCTCCTTCAAGAGAAGTAGATCCTGGTATAAAAGACGGAAACACCTGCACTACCTAACTCACATTTCCTGCCAGTGTTACCCTCTTCTCTCACAGGTCTCCCAAAATGCTAGTGCCCAACAGGAACCATGGCAGACATGGCAGGGCAGAAGTTCCTGGCCTCTCCCCCGCCACTGCGTCCGGGGGGCACTGAGCCCACGGAGAGAGGCTCTGTCGGCAAGCCCGCTGCGGGTCCGGCCCTGCTAGTGCCCACTGCAGAGTGGACTTTCTATGACGGGCAAGACGGACACTATCTGTGGGACCACACACTTACTACTTTCCCTCCTCTCTCACTGGGTTTTTAAGGCCACATCACTAAAAGTGCTGGCACTTTATGAACTGTCAAACACCTGAAAAGGAATTCTCAAGAATTGTGCAGGTAGATCATTTGCATTCAACAAAGAATTCTGTTCTTGACTGACAGCTGGGGGGAGGGGGATGGTGTTGGGGTGAAAAAGGTGAGGGATTAAGCAAAAACAAACCTCACAGACATGGACAACAGTGTGGCGATTCCCAGAGGGAAAGGGTGGGGGAGGCAGGAGAGTATAGGGATAAACGGTGGCAGGAGCCTTGATTGGGGTGGATACACAACATACAGAGGACGTATTATAGAATGTACACTTGAAACCTTTGTAATTTTATTTACCAATGCCACCCCAATAAATTCAGTAAAAATAAAAAGTAATTCTGTTCTTGGACAAAAGTTAGCACGTAAACAAGTCCTACCGTATGCACTGCTGATGCCTGGACAGTCACAGAGAGCGTATCTAATTTAAATGCACTACAGGAATTATTTGGTTGCGATCATTTTTTTTATGTTCCAGAGCAACTTTCCCAGCAGTCTCCAGATGGCGAGGAGCATCAGAGGCAGCCCAGGGAGGCTGGCCCTTCACTGGGGCGTGTCCGTGCGTGTCCGTGTGTGTGTGCGCACATCCGGCGTTGCTACGTATGTCTAACTTTTCAGGTTCTCTGGTCAATCAGACTCACTTACTCACTAAATGACCTTCAGACAAAGACAGCCAGAATGTTAGCTGTGGAAAAAATTAGGCAGAGATAGAAAGAAGGGGGTGGCCTTATGGGTGGGAGCCCCACCCAGAACCCCTGCCAGGATTTGTCTGCTTACCTATAAAATGGTAGCTAAAGAAACTTCAGACTTTTTTGTAGGAAAAGCCAAGTATGCCAGTCAGAGGTCAAGAAAACAATGAAACGGCTTTCCCTTTGTCTCCAGGGCTGTTCAGACTCTAGTTCTAAGCCAGTTTGTTGATAAGAAATTTCTTTCTAGATTGAAATGCCCTTGCTTTCCCACCTATATAACAATTTATCCACATAAAAAATGAATTACTTTAAATTTTGGAATTTGATATTTATGAGCAAGTTACCCCCACTTAAATTCTTGGCACATTTGTGAATTTTATTTTAACGTTCTCAGTTTGGTACTTAGAATAATGTGCCTGTTCAGGAGAGAATGCTCACTCTGTTCATTTAACCCTCGCAGTCACGGATGTGCAGGTCTTTGGGTCACCTTTAGCACCACTCTCTGAAAGGATTGTTTCTAGTAATTCATATTCAAATAAAACTCTAGGGTATAATTATTTTAAATTCTACACTCTGCAGTTACTTACATCATCTTTGTGTGAGGCTACTGAGGAACCAACAGTCTGAATAGTTTGGAAAACCAGCCTTAAAATACTCAACAAGCTCACTCATGGAATGAAAGCGAATGCTTCTGAAAATGTACCCTCTTCCTTGCTGAACCTAATTCTAAAGGGACCCTGGTAGCTCAGGGTCAATGGAATGATTTTCTTTGACTGTTACTCTCACTCTATAGACCAGTTGTCAAACACACATCAGACAATTGTCAAGTTAGAAAGCCCTTCCCTAAGGCTCTCACAGGCTCACTGCCTGGGCGATGAGCTGCCTTCTGCCCAAGTACCCATTTTCTACTCCCCGCTTGTGAGACGTAGTGAAAGGTCACCAACAGGTCCGTAATCAATAAGGAATAACTTCAGAAAGGTTTGGACCTGCTTCTCAGGAGGCAGCCCACCACTCAGGAGGCAGCTTTGCACAGAACCCGGCTCAGCAGCTGTGGGACCTGGCGACTCCCTAGCCCTCTCCGACCCCTTCCACCTCAGGGGTGGGGCTGGCGCAGTCTCTGCACGCGCAGCTCCCACTTGCCCAGGAAGCTGGCAGGTGCTGTCCAAGGTAACACTCTCTGGGCCGCACACTCTCCCGGATGTTTGTGTAGGTAGTGCATTATTCTGACGACTTTTCTCATCCACTTGACATTAACCAACGCCACCAAGTCTTCCTTCCAGCCAACAATAAATAACAGCAGGAAGTTTTACTCCATAAAGCATTAAGATATTTTAATGAGGAAAAACCCATATCTTAGTCTTATGTTTCTATTCAAAGACACTCAAAACTAGTTTTTCCCTGCCCATCCCTTCTAACTTTATTTGTGACCATGTAATAAAGGCCAGTTCAAAGATTTTTTTAAAAAAGTTTAAACCTTTTTAAAAAAGATTAAACAACCAGGCTAGCAAAAAGGTACTCAATACATACTTTCCTTATATCAAACAAGCTAGTATTTCAGTACAATGTACTATACAGAATATATACAATACACATGTGCACAAAGCAAACACTATAGGCTCAGAACAGATTTGAAAAAACAATATTCACATTGATTACAATAACTCTAAAAATGATTGTAACGTTCAAACGGCACTTAGTTTACAAAAAAGTCACAAAAATATATATATGTAGTCACCAAGAACTATGGTTCCTGTAAAATACTAATAGCCAGATACCAGGATACAAAATGTGAAGTTCTGACATTGTATACACTTTAGGAAATAAAACAAAATCCAAAACCATTTTTGTTATTGTTGAAAGTCAAACATGCCAAGTAACTTAGCTATGGCCACTGTCACCAAGAGGAGCCATACTGAATGAGATGACTGGATACTGAGCTGGTGAGCTGGGGCTGGCGCAGTGGAGAGAGCTATACTGGTCTAGGCGGGGGCAAAGACATAGAAACACCCATCTACATAACTTAATTCACATTTCCTCCCCAAAGGGTCTCACAAAATGCCAGTGCCCCAAAAGAATCATAGTGCTAAAACTACCACGTGTCCCCCAGCTTCCTCGGCGCTGGGCTACGGGCGGTATTAAAGCATGCATCCGCTAAGTAAGCAGCCCCCCAGCTGGGAGACTGGGGCGCAGTTTCCTGCTGGGCTGGTGGTACTAGAAAGTACTCCAGTTTTTAAATGGAGCCAGATTTACACGTTAGCTCTGTAAAATATTGAGCTAATGTAGCAGCAAATATGAAATGACACAAAAAACAATTGTTTAAAAATTCATTTCCGTTACCTCAAACCCCCCCCCCCCC